CCTGTTAAAAGTCTCCAAGTATCTCGCTGTTGCCTGGTGTCGCTCCTCCGATGAGCTCGGTCGCCTGCGTGTACGGTGGGGAAGACGTTCAACACGCTATGGGGACCTCATTTGCCAGTAAAAATATGATAATTGGTTCTTTACCCTTCTATCTGGCAACAAAACTGACACCTTTTTGCAAGGAGTCATGTTTGCATAGACCGCAATACCTGCAGTCATAAATACAAACAAAAGACATAACTCTGATAATGTGCACTGTCCTTGAAGTTGATTGGTCCACACCCGAGACAGCTTTCCTTCGAGCCTAGTCTCATATGGGTTGGACCAGATGACGCCAAAAGGCGCACAACTCAAGGACAATGCACCATCAGAGTATGAGAGTTCGGGGCAAGCATCTACACTATGGGGACCTCATTTGCCAGTAAAAATATGATAATTGGTTCTTTACCCTTCTCTCTGGCAACAAAACTGACACCTTTTTGCAAGGAGTCATGTTTGCATAGACCGCAATACCTGCAGTCATAAATACAAACAAAAGACATAACTCTGATAATGTGCTCGAAGGAAAGCTGTCTCGGGTGTGGACCAATCAACTTCAAGGACAGTGCACATTATCAGAGTTATGTGTTTTGTTTGTATTTATGACTGCAGGTATTGCGGTCTAGCGCAAACATGACTCCTTGTAAAAAGGTGTCAGTTTTGTTGCCAGGTAGAAGGGTAAAGAACCAATTATCATATTTTTACTGGCAAATGAGGTCCCCATAGTGTAGATGCTTGCCCCGAGCTCTCATACTCTGATGGTGCATTGTCTTTGAGTTGTGCGCCTTTTGGCGTCATCTGGTCCAACCCATATGAGACTAGGCTCGAAGGAAAGCTGTCTCGGGTGTGGACCAATCAACTTCAAGGACAGTGCACATTATCAGAGTTATGTCTTTTGTTTGTATTTATGACTGCAGGTATTGCGGTCTATGCAAACATGACTCCTTGCAAAAAGGTGTCAGTTTGGTTGCCAGATAGAAGGGTAAAGAACCAATTATCAAGTTCAACACGCATACGTACGGACACCCTGTGTTAGAGCACTGCCCGACTGAAGCAGCTATCATGGAAGTACTTCTGAGATGCCGACAAGTTGCCGTTCTTAATTGATCTTACCCTCGAGTGGCACAATGTTTCAGGTGCCATGGCTGCAGAGAAATGTTTGCCACGTGAGAGTCAAACTTATTTTTAAAATCCTTTATATTAAGTTCACTTGCTTGCTTGCTTGCGCGCTTACGACCGTGCAAATCTTTCGGTCGTTTTTTAACCCACTTCCCGTGATCCAATCGAGCTGACATTTTGCACACAGACTCGTTGTGCGTGACAATTTATTTTCGTGAATTTTTTTTTCCATAACTTTACACTTTTTAGGAAAAAAAAAATTATATTTAATTACCAATTGCTAAATGGTGGCAGGCAATCATCTGACCCATAGGTGGCAGCCATCTCAAGCCAGAGGACGAGAGGACTCTAGCCGCCATGCATATAAAGGATTTATAGTGAAAAACTTTGTTTTTACGGGTAATTTTCGTGCGTTTTCACCGAAGGAATTTAGCTATAATTCGGTGAAGAGCACTACTTTAATTAAACACAGATACATATTTATTCAAATATTTCACCTGGAAAGGCCATTGGAGGTGGAACATCTCGTTTGCAGAGATTTTTATTTTATTTTGTTTTGTTTTCACCTACGTGACTTTACCGAAAGAACCGAAGAGTATGCATCCTTGCAGTCACGAAAACTTCAAATCTAGAAAGAATGTCCAGGCTTATCAACGCATTTCATAACTAGTTTATTTTGGGTTAGATCGTGCAGATGTAACGTCATTGTTTTAACTATTACCGTCCACCCCCCCCCCCCCCCCGAGAGATCCAATCAAATCAAGTTGCACCATGGGCAAATCTACAAATCGATTTTGGGTTGAGAGCAAGACCACAGGAGGTGGAATGTTGAACAGGCCAAACACAATTTTTGATGATTTTGTACGACGACGACGTATCGCCCAAGATTACACCCAGCATCATCAAGTCCTTAAGAGTAGGTGCCATGACGTCATCACGCCAGCCATGCACGCGAACCGGTTGAATAATTAGTCGATGGCTCGTTGATGGGTTGTGATTGGCGGGTTAGATTCGTGTCAAAAGGTTGGTGAAATGAGGATTGTCCTCGCTTAAATGAAGGCGTTTCGTGTTGGTAATAAAGCTGGAGTATTATATATGCGAGGAGTCTAATATAAAACGATTTCATTTGATGGCTTTAATGGCCGGTCGTTGGTGACCAGGCCGAGATCCATCAGCTCGCCGCACTTGGGAACCTCGTTCAACCGCTGCGGCTGCGTGGCTGATACTTGGACTCCAACGCAGGCTCTCATCTTCGCCGGCTTTAGCGTCGCTGACCCCTGAGCAGAGGTCGCAATCGGGTACCCGATACCCGTACCCTATCCGATACCCGGCTACCCGTACCCGGCCGGGTACGGGTACCCGTTTGCGACCCTGATGCGGCCGGGTACGGAAACGGGTAAGGAATCAAAACCCGTTTGCGACCTCTGACCCTTGAGCCACCCATGGCCCACCCGTGGCTAATACGAGTCGCCCCTTTCTGGCAGAGCCTGTGATGCGTGAACTCATTACGCTCCCCACATTCTGTTCCCCCCCCTCCAACCACCACCCGCCCCATGCGAGCGAGCGAGCGTCTCTCCACTCCAGGGTAGCAGCGGACAGACTCTGGCTCACTCTCTCCGCAGGAGTTAACATGAGGCCGCAGTCGGGAAGGAGGGGGGGGGGTGCGAGGGCTGAGCGGCAGTAGGGGGGCAGCCGTCTTATCAGTCATCGCCCTCCATGGCCCTCACAGCAGACCTGCTACAGGAGGTATCTCTGGAATGTTATGAGCTGTCAAGTGCTGGCTTAGCATCCCGACCCCAGCCGTCAACACCTGTCAGCCACCGCCACCACCGCCGCCACCACTGCCGCCACCACCGCCGCCACCACCACCGCCTCCGCCACCACCGCCGCTACCACCACCACCGCCACCACCGCCTCCGCCACAACCGCCGCTGGCCACGGCGAGCTGTCCCCACGTTTGTTCCTCTGCAAGGGGCCGCGGTGCAGTGGTAACGCTTGTGCCTCGCAGCAAGAAGGTCTTGGGTTCGATTCTTGACTCGGGCGCCTACTTTGTGTGTGGAGGAAACCCCATGTTCTGCATAGGGTTCCTGCATGTTCTCCAGTTCCTTCTCACGGCAAAAAAAAATCAACACACGTGCAGCGTAACCGGTATTGGCCCAAAACATCGCAATGGTGAAAACACTCGTTGCAAATTACTCATTTGGGGTTACACGCAGAGCAAGATCTGCGTGTAGGGCAGGACCCTCGTGGGTAAACAAGCGGAATGATAATAATTGGCTCATCGTCCCGGCCCTACGCGATGATGCAGAGGCTGTTGATGTTGAGTCAAGCGAAAGTTAAGCTCAATGAGCTTCTTAGATCAATGGGGGGACCTCGCGCGAAATAAACGCGACCGACCGACTGAAGTGGCAGGTCAGGCTTAGGCCGACTTTTAATCGGCGGTGCGGAACCCCGCGGCTCGGCCGTGGAATAATCGCTCGGGCAGCAGAGTCCCGACTTGGGAGTCCCGCGAGAGGCCGGCGCTGCCTCGCGATCGCTCGCCACTCCCGACGAGCGATTGGCGCGCCGATAGCCGCGGGTCTCGCGTTTCCCGAGCCGCCACGCGGGTTAATCCCCGAGGTTTATCTCATTCTCTCTCTCTCGTGTGTGTGCAAGGTCATCAGCACGTCCTCCGCAGGTAGAGTCCGCAGGGGAGGGTGGTGGGCGGTGGGGGGGGGGGAGGGTGGTTGGGGGTTCCGTGGGTTCTGTGGTGTCCGCAGTTCATTTTCTTGGTTCTTTCGGTAAAGTCACGTAGAAGGGAAGTAATAAAATGATAAAAATAAAACAATGCAATAAATGATATTTTTATTCTTTTATTACTTCCCTACTACGTGACTTTACCGAAAGAACCAAGAAGATGAATCCCTGCAGTCACGAAAGCTTTAAATCGAAGTGTCCACAGTTATCATCATCGTGGTCGGCAGCAGTGGTCATCATCGTTATCAGCAGCAGCAGCCGCAGCAATAGCATCATCGTCATCAGCAACATCATCATCATTGTCATTAGAAGCAACATCATCAGCAGCAGCGGTCACGTGATCGTCTTCAGCAGCAGTGTCATCATCATCATCATTCTTATCATCATCAAGTGTTACGTGACCAGAAAATAGTAGGCACAGTCAAAGGAAGAGATGTTTCGTGGATGCGGTGTGCCGGATGATTCCAAGCATGTTGTGAATCCACTCAGGTTGAGATCTCGGTCTATACCAGACTCCAGTGTTTCATATCATCCATACTCACTGATCCACCCGCTCACACACCCGCCCAGTCACCACACTGCAGGTCACGACAATTCTGTTTCTGCTTCTTCCCTTGTACCGCTCCCCTTGGAATTCCCTCTTTACCCCCAAGCATTTTTTTCAATCAAAGAAATGTGTCAACTCTTATTTACATTACAACTTTGACAATAGTGCTGCTTGTTGCTGGCCGCTTGACACTTCAGGCCTCTGGAGGCCCGTGCTCACCAACTACAACTGTTGTTGTGGAAGCCGCAGAGAGAGAGGGTATACTTGATGTGGTGTGACGGGCGCGGAAACATTAAGCCCCCGTCGTGAGAAAAGCGCAGCCAAACCCCGTTGGACCCCCCCCCACCACCCCCCCTTACCGCCCACCCCCCCCCCACCTCCCCCCCACCACAGCCCGCCGGCCCCCCGAGATCGACGCTTGTCTTGCGTGGGCTGCTGTATGCTCCCCACTAAGTACTGCCCCCCCACTGTGCACTGCCCCTGCCCCCACCCCCCCCCCCCCCCACCGTGCGCTGCCCCTGCCCCCCCCCCCCCCCCCACCGTGCGCTGCCTGCCGCAGGGTGCACGGTTCCTGGTGCTGAAGAAGAAGTTCCGTCACCTGCTGGGTGGCGATGCGGCCGCGGGAACCCAGGGGTCGGGAGGAGGGGAGGAGGGGGAGGAGGGCGAGCGCGGAGGATCGTCCCTCACAGTGGAGGCACAGCCCCACGTCCACGATGGAGAGGAGGAGGAGCAGCAGCAGCAGCAAGAGGAGGTGAAGAAGATGGACGAGGAGGAGGAGGAGGCAGGGCCGTCGGGCGATGGTGCCGAGCCGCCGGAGGTGGAGGTGAAGGGACGTGGCAAGGAGGTGGAGGAGGCGATGGAGGTGGAGGAGAAACAGGAGGTGGAGGAGGTGGACAAGGAGGAGGACGTCGTGGAGGCCCAGGAGATGGTACGCGCGTCTCTCTGCCGCGTGACGTTAATTTGTCCGACGATTTTTTATTTTGATTGGCAAATGTCGAACGCCGGCCCAAAAGGCCTACAATGCACCGCGACCAGAAATTATCTGCCGTTGATCGTAGTGCAGCAGATAGGGACCAACACGTGTCTAGAATTGAGCGAGGTCATAGGAACGCAGAGCAGAGACGATGGGAGGGAAGAAGCAGAGAGAGAAGTGAGGTGACCTGCAGTGTGGTGCGTGAATGAGTGGTTGGACGAGTGGGTCAGTAAGCGATATTCTGACCTGCAGTTTGGTGAGTGAGTGAGTGAGTGGGTGACGATCGCACCCATCTCGCATCGCGGCGTCTCACGCAGCGGCGCTCCGATCGAGACCAGACTGCGGCGGTGGCAGCCGACAGCCGCTCGTGGACTTGACGCTTTAAGCCAGGCACGCCGCGAGCGTGCCGCTCTTAAATACAACGGCGGTGGAGGCGGCGGGCAGCCGGCAGCGGAGGCTGGCGTGTCGCGGTCGGGGACGACATCGGCTTAGCCCTCCCTTTTATTTACGCCGATCGCGAAAAGCGCCGCGGGGGAAAATGCAAAACGCTTCGGACAAGCGTGACCGCCGCAAGGCTGTCTCCGCTAAAGCCCCCCCGCAGACGGAACGGCCCCCGGTCGCGTCGCCACAGCGCACTGGAAGACAGGATTGGTTAACTGCAGCGTTAAGGGGTGGACAACTAAACAAGGTGGCACGGCAGCTGGCCTGCTAACGGGTATTAGTCTGTCAGTAGAGGAGGCGGCGGTGACTGCAACCGTGTGTGATCCCAATTGGGTTACGGGTTACGATGGGGCCTACTCGGCTACCCCCCTCCCCGGGCAATTGACCGTGACGGGGCGTTCCCAACCTGAAGAGCAACGCTCGGCTAATCCACCTCCTCGCTCGCACCTTCCAGTTTAACCACGGCTTTCCGACATGTACGCACGTTGAACTTCTTTCACACCGTACGTAGCCAACCGTGCTAATCGGAGGTGTGGGAGAAGGACAACAATCTAAACATGAAGTAGCAGTTCTAAAGGAATTCGTTTTCAATGTAAATTGTTTAAAAGCACCAATGGCTTCCTAATATCGGAAAGAAGAGCGTTCCAGACGGCCGCAGAAACGCATTTTAAAGCGCGCGATGCAGTGACCGTCTTTGTTCGATGGCTAGCCAAGTGCTGCTGCGAAGATGACCGAAGTTCGTGTGATGGTTTATGCTCCTTAACGAGATCAGCAAAGTATTGTGGTTCACTAGTGGCAGGCACTTTGAGTGTAATGGGTGCGACGGAGCAATGGTTGCGGTGTAAACATCAGCGCTGGGGAGACGCCTTCCCGTCGTGAATGGTTGCCGGGCTTAATAGGTGCTACTCGCCAAAAGCACTTGCCCCAACAGTCAGTTAATACCATACGGGTGATCTTTGCCTTTGCGACCGTATCCGGCCCCACACGCCCGCCGATGCTCGCTTGGTTTTGAGGGTGTGCCAGGTCACCTCCTCTAGAGACGAAGGAGCGACGCTCCACGCGCAAACACGGCTCCCACGCAAGCATGGCTCCATGTTTGCTCAGCTGTAAGCGGCGGAGACGTCGAAGTCGACGTCGCATTCACGTGTGTGTGTCTGTTCAGCACCCAGATGTGTGTGTGTGGTGCATCTCCGCCGGTTGGAAACATTTAGGCTGGCCTGCCTACGATCCATCCTGGGTTTAACCAGGCTGGATTGTGTGAGGAGCTCACAAATCCTTGAAAGATCTGGACAAAGTTCCATCGGTGAGCTCCGGCAGGCAAGGCTTCGTTGGATGGGTCATGTAGCCCGCATGCCCAGCCACCACATGCCTCAACAGCTTTTGTTCGGCCGGATAGAGGGGGCTATGCGGACACGAAACAGGCTAGAGAAGAGATGGAGTGATGTGGTACAAGAGGACGTGGAGCTGAGTGGACTTGCCGATGACTGGTACCAGCGGTGTCAAGATCGGCCTCTGTGGAGGAGGGCAGAGGAGCGACGCTCACAACAACGAGCAGAGCGCTGGGCGGCTAAAACAGCGAGTTGGCACAGGTGGCGCATCGGCCAGTCATCTCAGTCGACCCAGAGCACCTGGGTCTGCCCCGTGACCTCCTGCCGGCGGGCGTTCGACACTTCACATGGCCTTAACGTGCACATAACCTGGAACAAGCGCCGTGGTGACTTCACCGCCACTTAGTGACGAATGGTGGTTGTTGTTGTAGGGCGGTATTGTAGCGGTTAGCGTGCCATGCTATGAATCCAGTGACCCAAGTTCGATTCCCATTCATGGCAAATACCAGTGACGATTATTTCAACCGGTCCTGGGCCTCCTCTAGGTCGACTCGGCCTCAAATGAGTACCCGGTGCAGTGTGTAAACATCACCACTGGGGAGACAGAGGCGGCCGGGCGTGGTGTTGGCCACCCACCCCCTCGTGTGCCATGCCGGCCTTCATAGGTTCTCGCTAACAGCACTTGCCCCAACAGTCTGTTACAGGCTATATGGGGGATCTTTGTATTTGTTCTGTAGAGCAGTAGTGTCGCAGTTAGCGTGCCGCGCTACGAACCCGGCGACCCGCGTTCGATTCCAGCTCGCGGCCAACACCAGTGACGATTATCTGAACTGGTCCTGGGCCTCCCTGAAGTCAACTTATCATCCTCATAAGAGTACCTGGTGTGGTGTGTAAACATTGCCACTAGGAAGACAAAGGTGGTCGGGCGTGTTTCTGACAACCCACCCCCTTGTGTGCCATCATATTTGTTACTCGCTAAGAGCACTTGGTCCAAAAGTTTGATAAGGCTATATGGTGGATCTTTATCTTTGATGCATGGGGGAGGTTGTGTGAGATATACGGGGATGTGTGGGTGTCGGGAGCGGTGGCACAGTGGTTAGCGCACAGCGCTGCGAACCCATTGACCAGAATTTAATTCCCGCTCACGACCAATAATAGTGGCAGATATCTGAACCGGTGCTCTCTGTGAATATCAGCACTGGGAAGACAAAGATGGCCTGGCGTGGTGTATGCCACCCACCCCCTCATGTACCTTGCTGGCCTTCATAAGTTCTAACAGCATTTGCCCTAATTGTCTTAAATAGGCTACATGGGGAGGGATCTTTGTCTTGTGTGTGTGTGCTCTCCCATTTAATCACGGCGCTCTGCAAGCAGCATTCTGGCCGCATTAATCACAGCGTCAGAAGCGGCAGGCCATGCTCGTGTCTGCACGCAGTGCAGGCGGCCGGAGCGGTCGGAACGTTCAATAAAACCGAACCAGTTCCTGCCTGCCGCTGCATGAAGCGTCAGCAGCCGCGCTGCACAGCGCTCCGATCTGCTCTCAGGAAGCTGCGCACGTTGATCCGCACGATGTCCGACGTTTCGTTCCCCCCCCTCCCTCCGTGGCGCCGCGGGACCGTAAAGGACTTGCGAGGGCATGGGGTGACCTCCATCCAGCAGTAGATGGACAATGGCTGATGACGACGACAACGATGAATTTGGAGTGAGATATTGAGAGACGCGTGTGAGTGACGGCCCGTCAAAACGCCAACCCCCGCCACCCACCCCCACCACGTGCTCCTCATGGGGGTGGGTGGGAGGGCCCAAAATTGCCCCCTCCTACCACCCTCCCACCCACCCGTCCACCTTGCTCACTCCGCCACCCCCATCCACCCCACCCCCGTCTCTTTCAAGTTGGCTCAAACCTTCTTTTCATAAGTGGAGAAATTTACCATTTCCATATATATATAAAAACATTTAAATACAAACACCTTGTGGATATTTAAAGATTAAATAGGATTGTGGCTTCTTCTTCTTAAAGCTGTTTGGAGCTGAGGGGTGCATCAGTCTTTGACGGAGCTGCCGATCCTGTTAACCCCTCGTGTGCCGAGCGCGGGGCCGGGTACCGGGGGGCTGCTGTGCGTTGCCATGCCGGTCCGGTGGTAGCCGCGCCGAACAGTCGTTCCACCGTGACGACGTCTCCGCCAGTAGCGCTCTCCGCATCTCCTTCTTCTGGTCCCGGGGACGTTGGAGACTGTTCTTGCCATTGTTGGGGCCGTTAGAGCGTTTGGGGTGGTTGGGCGCCGTTGGGGGCAGTTGGGGGCCATTGAGGCCGTTAGGACCGTTTAGGCAGTTGGGGGCAGTTGGGGGCAGTTGGGGGCCGTTGGGGCCGTTGGGGCTGTTTAGGCAGTTGGGGGCAGTTGGGGGCCATTGAGGCTGTTAGGACCGTTTAGGCAGTTGGGGGCAGTTGGGGGCCATTGAGGCCGTTGGGGCCGTTTAGGCAGTTGGGGGCGGTTTGGGGCCGTTAGGGGCCGTTTGGGGCCGTTAGGGGCCGTTTGGGACCATTGGGAGCTTTTGGAGACTGTTGGGGACAGTTGGGGTCATTGGAGGCTATTTGGGACCATTTCCTTGACCGATATGTCCTCCTTTCTAAATATGAATCCTGAGAGCTTCACAAAGGTTTGTGAGAGTCTTGGACACGAATAGCCCCCCGTGTGTCTGTCCACAGGTCCTGCCTGATTAATCGCTGTGGGTGAACTGCCAGATCTTCATAGGCAAGGGCCTTCTCTGTGAGATATGGGTCTCTAGTTTTGACGCAGAACCCTGCAGCGCACAAAGCAACGTAATTGATAAGCCGACGAGATGCCCTATCGGCAAGGAGGCGCGGTGCCTGTTTATTTAATTGCTTATTTCGTTTCTTGCGGCGACGGTTGTGATGCGGAGAGATGGAGCGTCTCGTTTGCGGGTTGTGTCCGGGTTCGACAAAACCTGGACACGCAGCACGGTTGGCTACTTAGGGTGCTAAAGAAGTTCAACAATCGTACATGCTAGCCTTGGTCAGGCGAGTCGAACTGTGCACCATGACTTCGATTCTTATTTAAAACAAGACGAAGAAGAGAACACCGCTTTGATTGGGGCTACCAAGAGGTTTCATGTTGCAGGGACGTGAGGCTGCCTGGGGTGACTGCGTGATCGAGGGGACTTCCT